ACCCCATTTTTTTTTTTTCTAAAATATAAAGATGGTGTTATGATGAGTAAAAAGATACCAAACATGTCACTGTTTACTATTGCGCACACCTGCGCAATGGCAACAAGCGATGTGAATTTTGCCATCTATAGGTAATGTTTTAAAGGTCTTTTACAGGTTACAACTTTAGATTTACAGAGGAGGTGTGGTGCTGGAATTACTGCCCATGATCTGACCTTCGTGGTGATCGCGGTTTACGTGTGCGCAGGACCAATGCGTGCGTTTACCTTTGCGTGCAAGCATGGAAGGAAGGGTCATTTTTTTTATTTTATTTTTACACAATCACTTTAAAAGAAAAAAAAATTTTTGATCACTTTTGTTGCTGTTGCAAGAAATGTAAACATCCCTTGTGACAGCAATAAGCAATGACCAGTACTTTGTATGGTGGGATCTGAGAGCTATAAGATTCCAGATTCCTCCTCTGCCCTTTAAAAGGATTTAATCGCATCAAAATCGGTGTGCTTAAATGCTTTTCTTTGTAAAATGCCTCCATTTATTTCCAAGTAAACAGGAAGTGATGAAAGGTTACTATGTCGTGGAGCAGAACAAAGCTGATCCGGTCTTTGGCTCTGTGATCAGCTGACGGGAGATCCAGTTAAAGGACATTGCAAGAGAGCTGACCGCTTGCTCTAAAAAGCAGTGCCAGGATGATGACTACAGCTGCAGACATCATCCCAGTATAACCACTTGAAGTCCAGTGATGTACTGGGTATGTGACTGGTCATCAAGTGGATATTGCAGTTATCAGGACCAGTATGCATGAAAATATAAAATATCTATCCACCATCAGGATCTCCTATATATATATATATATATATATATATATATATATATATATATATATATATATATATATATATATATATGAGATCCTGGCTACAGCAATGTACACTGAGATGATGATAATTCACTGTTGTCATCCTTGTTTGTCATGAGTCTACAAGTGTGGGGTGTGAAGTCCAGTAGTGTTTGGGTTACAGATCACTGATCTCTATGGACTTTGTACTGATCAGTGTGAAATATACTGTATGCGTGTGTCATGTGTAATACAGAATACAGCCCCGTCATACCGCCACATGTTTACAAGGGAATCTGCTCCTCTGTGGTACTCCACTGACATCATCCAGAGAATGGTTCAGATCATCAGCAACTTGGTAAAGAATAGATGGATTCTATAATAAATGGAATTTTACAGAAGAGTTCTTCAAATCTGAGCTACTATGGTGCCAGTTCTATATTCTCATCTAACTGGATTTGGTAATTTATTAAAAAAAAAACCCATGAACATAACCAGAAATATATTACATTTACAAAGCCATTTGTCTAATGTATTTTTTTCCCCCCCTAAACCCTCCCTTTTATTATAGGATTAGTACCTGTTGATTTTTCTTTAACAGGGTGACAACAGTGATCTTTGTGCATTGCAGTCACCGCAGTGTTGTCACCCTGTACACAGGTTAGTCTTAAAGCACTAATAAACCCAAAAGCAAATATTATATTGCAGCCTATAAATTCTTAGATGTGGTCTTTGTTTTTTTTTGTCCTCCCTTTTTTTTTTTTTTTTTTTTTTTACCCATTTTTGGTGGTTTGGCCAGTAAGTCTGATTTTTTTTCAAAAGAACAAGCTGTCCTGTAAATGTAGCAGTTACAGAGATGAGACAACTCCTCCTTTATGTTCAGCTTTTATTAATGTATGTAAAACCTTTGTCCCAGAAGGAGAATAAACTGTTTGCTGTAACTGATTAACAAAATTGAAGCCAAACTCTAGCTCACACTTTATAGTGTATCTAAATCTGCTAGTCCAATAAACAATTTAATACCCAGGAGGTTTGGGAGCTCACATAGGATGTTACAAGGAGACCGAAAAACACCATAAGAAACCATTTTTTAAAAAAAATGGATTACAGTAGATGTATGTGATTTCTTTTTGGAGGGTAAGGATTTTATTTAGCATTTATCTTCAGCTTGGTCAATTATGCTTTGAAAATAAAAGCTGGAAGCTGCTGGGGTGCCTTGCACAGATGTTCCAGATTTTATTGACTCCAGTCTTGGGAAATCCCTCTCAAGGAATTAATACAAGTTAAATACCATCATTGCAACATACAGTTAACAGAATTTTTAATTTGTTTTTGTTTTAATATGACAGTGACAGCGGTCTCCTTGGTGAGTCTGTGGGCACACCTTGGTTGTCACGTGTCCTCAGAGGTGTCGGCAATGTTCCCTAAGTTTGTCCTTGGAAGGATGACAGTTGTTGTCTGACTAAATTGAATTCTGTCATTTTGGTTGTCTGACTCGGGAATTAAACTAATTATCTAGTTTTCTGCTTGTATTAAAATTCCATGAAGCACGCTGTGACATGTCTGTATTGGTGTCAGTGAAGAGGTGTGTGTGTTCTGTCTCCAATCAGTCATAACATTATGACCACCCACCTGCCCTGACCCCTAAAGCATAGACACCAGTAGACTTCTGAAGGTATGCTGTGGTATCTGGCACCAAGCCATCAGTAGCAGATCCCTTAATTCCTGTAAATTGCAAGGTGGGGCCTCCATGAATTAGACTTTTCCAGCACATCCCACAGAAGCTTGATTGAGATCTTGGAAATTAGGTGGAAAGTCAACACCTCAAACTCGTTGGGTTCCTCAAACCATTCTTGAACCATTTTTGTAGTAAGACAGGGCTTATTCTCCTGCCGAAAGACACCCCTGCCACCAGCGAATACAGTTTCTATGAAGGGGTGTACTTGGTCAGTAAAGATGTTTAGGTAGGTGTCAAGTATCCTCCACTTGAATGGCAGGACCCAAGGTTTCCCAGCAGAATATTGCAGAACATTGCCCAAAGGATCACACTACCTCTGCTGGCTTGCCTTCTTCCCATACTGCATCCTGGCACCATCTCTTCCCCAGGTTACTGATGCCAGCTTGCTTTCTTGCAGTGTCACCCAGCCATCCATATGATGTGCGTGGAAAATATTCATCAGACCAGGCCACATTGCTCCGTGGTCCAGTTTTAATGCTCATATGCCCATTGTAGACACATCAACTTCACGGACAACATGTTTACTTGCTGCCTAGTTCATTGTAACAAAGATCGTCAATGTTATTCAGTTTACCTGTCAGTGATTTTATTGTTTTTATGGCTGGATGATGTGTGTGTATTTATATACACATATATATGATTCATCTGGGAATCAATGTTTTACTCGATAAGAGTCCATCCACCAGACCTGCTTTGTCCTTCTACTGTCATTCCTCTGGCATATTCCTATATTTTATATCTTAGCGCCAAACAAGATTGGAATACCTTGATGACTTAAAGGTGACCTACTGAAAGAAAAATGTGCAGAAATATTCGTAGTTTAGTGGGGTTTTTGTTGTTGTTTTAGTGTGTAGGACATGTTTAGCTGTGCTTTATATAGGTAGCCAAGGGGGACCATAGGCCAGTCTAAATAGAGCTATTAGAGAGCTGCATGCGGTGCTGTGCCTGTAGCTGCTTGGAGTCGCATATATATGCAAATGCTGCACCTGTCACTTCTGCTGGAGAAAATGTCCATATTGTCTGCTACAGGGCCATTTGCATCCATGTGGAATGTATATTCTCTTCCAACTGGATTTGGTAATTTATGAAAAACAACCCATGAACATAACCAGAAATGCATTTATATTTACAATGCCATCTGTCTAGTAGTTTTGTTTTTTATTTCCCTAAATAAGCGTAAAATAAATTTGTGGGGTTTTTGTTACTGAGTTAGAAGGTAGATTTCCAGTCAACCCCCCCCCTTGAGTGTTCAATGGGCAGAATATTAATTTATTCTGCCCATTGAAATGAATGAACACCCAAGGTCTTGACGCACTTGGCGATTAGATATGTTTTAGGCACATCAGGCATTTCTTTTTTTTTTTCCCCCAAAATGCTGCTGCTGTACGTGCTGACAGTGGGATTAACTGTTTTTGTTTTGTTTTTTTTTTTATTCTTGCCTCTAAACGCCTGTAAATACTTATGTGTGCATGGACACAATATAGGAAAACATTAAAGTGGTTGTAAAGGCTGAATGTTTTTTACCTTCATGCATTCTATGCAGGATGGTAAAAAACCTTCTGTGTGCTGCTCCCCCCCACAGCTCCATTGATTCCCACTGTTGTCAGTCACAGCCAGTGAGCCAATGAGGTGAGAGTGGGGGGGGGGGGGGGGTCTTGAGCCATGGCTCCAAGTGTCTTATACATGCATAGCGCAGGGCTTGGGAGTGGGCATGCACCAGTGCCCCCATAGCAAGCAGCATACTATTGAGGGCACTGGTTAAGGAGGAGCCAGGAGTGCCAGCAGGGGACCCAAAAAGGTGTGTGTGTGTGGTGTGTGTGTGTGTGTGTGTGTGTGTGTGTGTGTGTGTGTGTGTGTGTGTGTGTGTGTGTGTGTGTGTGTGTGTGTGTGTGTGTGTGTGTGTGTGTGTGTGTGTGTGTGTGTGTGTGTGTGTGTGTGTGTGTGTGTGTGTAAAAATCACTTTAAAGGGGCATTTAGAGGTAAAAAAAACCACAAGAAGGCTCTTAAAACCGGCATTTAAGTTGCCCAATGTGCCTAAATGCTCCATGGATTTCATACACTTTCAAGTACGGCTATTGCTACACCATCTGTAGATCACCTCCCCATCAGCACTTAGTCTGATTCTCCAGTCCAGAAATATTAACTGCCTTCAGGGCAGCACAGTCTGTTTCTAAAGCAAAGGGTATGTTTGCAGCATGGCAGGAAACCAGATCCTGGAGACAGTTCCGGAAATGCAGCAAGGCACTCTGTAGACAAGACTTAAGCGGCAGTGTTGTTTTTCCACCCAGCCATTCAGATTTAGTGTTGACCTGACGAGGACACTTGTGTATCAGTATAGGAATTGGTTTGCTGCACCTAGAGTAAACTTTTTTTTTTTTTTTTTTTTTTTCTTTTTTTCTCTCTTCTTTGTTTCCTAGCTTGACCACCATGCCTGGATCCCTTCCTGCCTCTGCTGAAGCCTCCTGGCCCAAGGATGTCGGTATTGTTGCCTTGGAGATTTACTTCCCAGCTCAGTACGTTGATCAGGAGGAGCTGGAGAAGTTCGATGGGGTCGGTGCTGGAAAATACACCATCGGTTTGGGCCAGTCCAAGATGGGCTTCTGCTCAGACAGAGAAGATATCAACTCGCTGTGTCTCACTGTGGTCCAGAAGCTGATGGAGAGGAACAACCTTTCATACGACTGCATCGGAAGATTAGAAGTGGGAACAGAGACCATTATTGACAAGTCCAAGTCGGTAAAGACTGTCCTCATGCAGCTGTTTGAAGAGTCGGGAAACACAGACGTTGAAGGCATAGACACAACGAACGCATGCTATGGAGGCACTGCTGCTCTTTTCAATGCGGTCAACTGGGTGGAGTCAAGTTCATGGGATGGTGGGTGACATTGAAATCACCTTCAATCACTGTAGGATGCTGGTCACCTCCATGTGGGGAGGCCATTGTTGGGTCAAATCATTATAAAAAGCTTGCTTGGTGATCTTAGATGACTGGTTGTAGCTGTGAGATTTTGCTCTAAAGTGGCTCACTGTAGTCTCATGGATTAAAAATGAGGGATATGGAAAATAGTAACACATACTACATTGGGGGGGGGGGGGTTACTAAAACTGGTGCAGTCAGATTCTGGTGCAGCAATGCATAATACCTAATCCGCTTCTAACTTCAGCTTGTTTAATTGGGCTTTGACAATAAAACCTGAGAGCTGATTGGTTACTATGCAGAGCTGCACCAGACCCTGTGTGCACCAGTTTTAGTAAATCTCACCCATAGACTTTCATTCCTATGTGTAAACCTGTCATTGCTGAAATCATTGCTGCCGTTACGTTTTGAAAATACTAATTGGTTATGACCCCAAATCCAATCGCTGTCCAAATCTTGTAGACTTCACCTCCACAACATCTTCAAGATACGGCTGTTTTTAACCTCGGAAACCACTAAGCAACTTATTCACTCCCTTATTATCACTCACCTTGACTATTGTAACTTCTTCCTCATCGCAGGCTATCCCCTCTTCAGTCTATCATGAATGCTGCCGCCAGACTCCTCCACCTTACTAACCGTTCCATATCTGCCTTCCCTCTCTACCAATCCCTCCACTGGCTTCCCATTGCCCAACGGATAAAATTCAAAACATTAACAATAACATATAAAACCATTTATAACTCTGCCCCAAATTACATCACCAATCTTGTTTCGAAGTATCACCCAAACCGTCCTGTCCACTCCTCGCGCTACCTCCTGCTCTCTAGCTCCCTTGTCTCATCCTCCAATGCTCGTCTCCAGAGCCTCCTCCATCCTCTGGAACTCTCTACCCTTTAATCTATCAGACTATCTCCTACTCTGCTCACTTTTAGGCGATCAGCCTTCAGCTAATAACGGAATCTTCTACTCCTCCTACCAGTCCATCCCCCACAGTTATTACCTTTTGTACCACCAGCCCCTCCCTCTTAGATTGTAAGTGCCAAGGTGCAGCGCCCTCCTATCCCTCTTGTATTGAACTGTATTGTTGCTGTATTGTCTCCATTTATATTGTAAAGTGCTGAGCAAACTGGTGGCGCTATATAAATCCTGTATAATAATAATAATGCTGATGACCTTCTTCGGGTCAGTGATCCAGAACAAGTAGATGGACAAAGACTTTTGAATGTCCTTCTCTGCACACTTTCTCTGTTAGCAATACAGTCAGGCAATTAGTGTTGTCAGGAGGCCAGCATTGGCAGCCATTTGTTACTTTCATTACACATTTTCTTTAGGGTAGACTGTTTTTGCTGTCAATCAAATGCAGTGAGGAGAAATTGGGGGGGCAGGGCTACGTCCCGCTGTGTAGGGTCTATGGAGCGTGGCAACATTGTCAGAGCTTGAGGCGAGCAGACACTGTGTGCCCCCATAGCAAATAGCTTGCTGTGAGGACACACCAAGAATAGAAGGAGCCAGAATCGCCGCTGGGGGACCCAAGAAGCGGTGGATCGGGGCCACTCTGTGCAATACCACTGCACAGAGCAGGTGAGTAGAACTTGTTTGTTATTTTAATTTTAAAATAATAGACTTTAAGGACATTTTATTAAATTCTAGTATTGAAGTCTGGAGAGCCTTGCAACTGCAATTTGTGCATTATGGGTGCACACGCTCCTGCATAGGTTACTCCCAACCCCTTATGGCGGTATGGACCTTTTTGTTCTGGGTCTGGAGGAAGTAAACAATACACTACAAGTGAAGTCGCAGCACATTTCCTGGCAGAATGTGAATCCCTCTGCCTCAGTGGGTCTCAGAGGCAAAAGGGAAACCAGTCACTGGAATAGATTTTCCCATCTTGTGTTAATGCCATACTAATTTTCTATAAATGCTTTGAGGTTTGTTTGTTTTTTTTTATGTATGCAGGATTGAGAAGATTTTTGTTTTTATTGCCTTTGCATATCTGCACTTATTGTCCTAAAGATTGGTAATTTTGTGGAAACCAGAGGAATCTAATGCACTATGTGCCCTTTGTTCGTACAGGACGCTATGCCTTGGTGGTCGCTGGAGACATTGCTGTGTATGCCACGGGAAGTGCCAGGCCAACTGGAGGAGCCGGAGCTGTTGCCATGCTTGTGGGTCCAAATGCCACTCTCATTTTAGAAAGAGGTTGGTGGTTTTGTGTGTTTGAAAAGAATCTTGTGTGTACAGTAGAACTTCAGCTGTGCTGGTGTTAGTGATGTGCAGACACTGCGTCCCAAAAGACAATGGCACTACCGGGACAAAGATGCACGCAATACATCACAGTGATGTGCGTTCCCGTGCCGCAAAACACAGCCCTGTGTGGGACATGGATGCATTCACCCCGTGTGAACGAGTTATAAATGATCTAAGAAGCGTCTCAGACTGATTTCAGATGTAAGCTGAATGGATCTGTGAGCATACTGCATTTGCTCATCGGCACAGATCTTTTAAATAAAACACAGGAGTATATATTTTGCACAGCTAGCTTCCTGGAAAATCAGAGAAAAAAAAAAAAAAAAAAATATATATATATATATATATATATATTTCTCTCTCTCCATCCCTCCTTGTAAGAAGAATTAATGTCCTATAAAATGTTATTTGTATGCATTCATGTGCTCAGTATCTGTTAGATGATGCTCTGTAGGTTTCTCTTGTGTTTCGACCAAACTTTTTTTCTTTTTGGGATTTTAACCACTTGCCAACCACGCTATAGCCGAATGTCGCGATTGTCCAGTTCTGGGAGGGCGTCTTATGATGTCCTTCCAGAACACGCCCCCCCAGCGGCACACACCCACCGCTCTCCATGATCGCTGTGTCCTTTGGACACAGCTGATCAAATGAGGTAACAGGCCAATCACAGTGGCCTTTTACCACGTGATCATCTGTGTCCAATGACAGAGCAGATGACCAAGTAAATACAGTTGCCGATTATCGGCTGCATTTTCCTCATGCTGTCACAGCGTGAGGAAAGTACTGCCGATAACCGGCAAATGACAGAGGACACTTGCACTGATCATCAGGGCACTGACTATCAGTGCCACCTAGCAGTTGTGCCCTTCAGTGCCCATCATTGCTGCATATCAGTGCAGCATCATCAGTGCCCACCAGTGCCGCCTCATCAGTGCTGCCTGTCACTGCCCATCAGTGCTGCCTATTAGTGCAGCCTCATCAACAGACATCCGTGAAGGAGAAAAATTACCCATTTGCTAAATTTTATAATTTTTTTTTTTTTTTTTCTGTTTATAGTGCAAAACATTAAACACCCAGTGGTGATTAAATACCACCAAAAGAAAGCTCCTATTTGTGTGAAAAGATAAAAATTTCATATGGGTACAATTTTGCATGACTACGTAATTGTAATTCAAAGTGCGACAGCGCTGAAAGCTGAAAATTTGGCCTGAGCACGAAGGGGATAAAAGTGCCCAGGAGGCAAGTGGTTAATATGTGATGAATAGTTGTTTCTTATCTAGTAGGTAGAAGGTTTTCAAGGTTTAATACCCAGTCGGCCTTCCTGATGGCTTACTTTTTTTTTTTTTTTTTTCCTCCATACCTTCATAGGTTTACGTGGAACACACATGCAGCATGCCTATGACTTCTACAAGCCTGACATGGTGTCTGAGTATCCTGTTGTGGATGGGAAATTATCCATCCAGTGCTACCTGAGTGCGCTGGACCGCTGCTATTCAACCTACCGCAGGAAGATCAGAGCACAGTGGCAGAAAGGTAGGTTGGTTGCTACATTGTCTCCTGCCACTGATTCCATGCTTTCCTTTCTATGGTCATTCAAGAATCTTATACAGTATTTCTGTCTCTCAGAAGGGAACGATAAACCGTTCACCCTGGAAGATTTTGGCTTCATGGTATTTCACTCTCCATACTGCAAGCTGGTCCAGAAGTCTCTTGCACGCTTGTTGCTCAATGATTTCATTAGTGATTCCACCCCTGACACAGAGAGTGGCGTTTATGCTGGATTGGACTCCTTCCAGTAAGTGTTCATTAATATGCGATTTATTGTAAGGCAGTTTAAGGGCTACTTTGCAGCACTTAAAGGCAAAACCTTTTCATTTTGAATTGAGTAAGGGAGGGATTTAACCCGTTAGATTTTTTTTTTTTTTTTTGCCTTGTCATGTATTCCCAATTGGGAAGATCTCCCTTCACTTCCTGTCCTATAACCAAAAGAGGAAGTAAGAGATAATCTCTCTAAAGTGAAGGTATCCCCGGTTGTCACCAGAACTAGGGTTCCCATTGGAACATTTTTCCCTCTATTCTGTGGACAACCCAGAATCTGCAATTTTCTTTTGCTTTCACTATTGGTGATAATGGTAAATAGAGGAGTTGCCGCAGACAGCAATAAAAACCTTACAGATGTTCTATTCTTTCTCTCTTTCCTCTCTCCAAAGCTGGGAAAAAAAGTTTTGCTTGTAGATTATGCCTTTTTTTTTTGTAATTCTTTTGACAGTATAGCCAAACGGGCAATGTCTTTTTGTTGGTCCCCTACTTCATAGAAGCTACAGTGCCCATGTATTACACTGATGATCACCAGCAAGCCTGAGGCAGCTGTGTTCATTTATAAACGAATGTAATATTGGCTGTGTATGTGCTAAACCAGTAGTTCTGGGTGCGGAGCTGGTCTGGTGGTGCAATGTTCCACCTACAATTCAAAAATTAGGAATAAACTCAACTTATTTTTTGGGTTTGGTCTAAAAGGCACTTTTTTGTTTTATGAAAACTTTGTGCCAAGCTGTAGTTATTTTGTTAACTGTGGAAGTGTTTTTGCAAACTATTGTAAATTATTTGGGATGGGAAACAAAACTGAGTGTTTTTTAAACTGAGAATTTTATGTATGAATTAAATATATTTGATAGGTGTTTATTTAGGGTGGAACGTGTAACCTAGTCCAGCCTCTTCCCCTCCCTGTGACAGCAGGTGAGGGAATGCACAAACTATAACAACCATCAGCCATTGCGGCTGACTTATAGTTCTGAAAGGTCGCTAAATAGCAGCCTTCTAGTACATTCACATGCCCTGCAGCTTGTAAACAGTCGGCTTGTATGAAGGTACAGGCTGAAAGCTGCAGGGCTTGTATGCAGGAGTCTGGCATTGCACCCCTGATACATTGATCAGGGGTGCAATGCTTTTCAGGCTCCTTGGGGGGGAAAAAAAAAATTATAAATGTGCTTTTTTCTTCTCTTTTTCTTCCTGAAAAAATGTGCATTTATTCCCATAAGGTGTACTTATCCTTTTTTAAGCTTCCTTGTTTGTTTGTTCTAGTATCAGGTAGCTGCTGTCAGTGTGCAGAATATACTCACACTGACAACTGTCAGCCATTAGAAGGAGCACATTCATGTAAAGCAAACCTACATGTTCTTATCCTAATCAAAAATACATCCTGTGCTGTTATTTGTCCTAAGCTGCTATGAAAAGTTGAATAATATTTACTTCCAGCGTCTCCAGGCTCTGTTCAGTTTTCAGTACCCACACACAGTCACCCGGGGTAATGCAGGCCCTGCCTCTGGTTGGCCTTTCACATCGACAAAGTATTTCACTGTTGCGGCTGAGTATCAGCAGGGGGAGAGAGCCCTAGAACTGCCAACACGATGGCACTGAGTATCAGCAGGAGGAGGGGAGCCCAGAACTGCCAACACGATGGCACTGAGTATCAGCAGGGGGAGGGATCCCAATACTACCAACACGATGGCACTGAATATCAGCAGGGGGAAGGATCCCAATACTACCAACATGATGGCACTGAGTATCAGCAGGGGGAGAGATCCAATACTACCAACACGATGGCACTGAGTATCAGCAGGGGGAGGGAGCCCAATACTACCAGCACGAATGCACTGAGTATCAGCAGGGGGAGGGAGCCAGAACTGCCAACGCGATGGCACTGAGTATCAGCAGGGGGAGGGATCCCAATACTACCAACATGATGGCACTGAGTATCAGCAGGAGGAGGGAGCCCAATACTACCAGCACGAATGCACTGGGTATCAGCAGGGGGAGGGAGCCCAGAACTGCCAACGCGATGGCACTGCGTATCAGCAGGGGGAGGGAGGCCAGGGCTGCCAACACGATGGCACTGAGTATCAGCAGGGGGAGGGAGCCCAATACTACCAACATGATGGCACTGAGTATCAGCAGGGGGAGAGAGCCCTAGAACTGCCAACACGATGGCACTGAGTATCAGCAGGGGGAGGGAGCCCAGAACTGCCAACACGATGGCACTGCGTATCAGCAAGGGGAGGGAGGCCAGGGCTGCCAACACGATGGCACTGAGTATCAGCATGGGGAGGGAGGCTAGGATTGCCAACACGATGGCACTGAGTATTAGCAGGGGGAGGGAGGCTAGGATTGCCAACACGATGGCACTGAGTATCAGCATGGAGAGGGAGCCCAGAACTGCCAACGCGATGGCACTGCGTATCAGCAGGGGGAGGGAGGCCAGGGCTGCCAACACGATGGCACTGAGTATCAGCATGGGGAGGGAGGCTAGGATTGCCAACACGATGGCACTGAGTATTAGCAGGGGGAGGGAGGCTAGGACTGCTAACACGATAGCACGGAGTATCAGCTGGGGAGGGAGCCCAGAACTGCCCAAAACTGTGGCACAACACATTATTTCTTAATATATTAGGTTAAAGGACAGTCAAAGTAGTGAAATACAGCTAAGGAATGCAAGTGTGTTTTACATGCTGGTGTGTAATTTAATCTGATTTCTTCTGGCAGGGATGTAAAGCTGGAGGACACGTACTTTGACCGAGATGTAGAAAAGGCTTTTCTGAAGGCCAGCTCTGAGATGTTCAATGATAAGACACAGGCATCACTGCTGGTGTCCCGGGAGAATGGAAACATGTACACCCCTTCTGTGTACGGCTGCCTGGCCTCTGTGCTTGCCCAGTGAGTGCCCTCGCCTCTTAGTGTCGGCAGTGTGGTATTGTGCAGTGCAAACAAATTACAAAAACAAGCAGTCTTACCTCCTGTTGTTTGTTCCAGATATTCTCCCCAGGAGCTGGCCGGACAAAGGATCGGGGTCTTTTCATATGGCTCTGGCTTTGCTGCTACATTGTACTCTATAAGAGTTACTCAAGATGCCACGCCTGGTAAGACATTCATTCTTATGCTGCAGACTTGCTATTTTCAGGGTGCTTTATGTGATACATTTTAAAAGAGAACCTCTCCAGACTACCGAAAAGGGGAAGTTCCGCTTTTCTTCCTCCCAACACCCACCCATAATATTTGGAATGTATTCTTTTTTTTTTTGGGGGGGGCGACCTAATCGACAACTCTGTGCTCCCACCGGCTAATCATAACAAAGATGTGAATTGCTTTGTTTGTCTCAATGATATAGGGAACCAGAATAGGTTACCTTACATGACTAAATGGCCATTTCCCCAGCATGTGATTAAGAGATCTCACATCTGTGCTGCTCACCTCTCCACTATACTAATATTTTAACATCTGACGAAGCTCCGCTATGGAGTGAAACGTAGGGCATTTTTCTTTCTTTTGAGCACATGATCACTTTGACACTTTTTTTTTTCTTTTATATATAAAAAAAGAAAAAATATCTCTGTGGTGTAAGGAGGATTGCATCTTTGCTTTTTATGGTGCATGGTGATCCCCAATAGCCAGCCAGGCATTTTTTGATAGATATGGTGAAGTGTGGGGCCTGTCCATGTTTGGTGTATGTTCTTACCACATGGATGGGTGTACCCGTACTACATATCTGTATCAAAATAAATAGTTGGGTTGAGGTGGAAGAATAACATTTAGTAAAAATAGATTATATCTCAATCTTTCACTGTAAATTAGTTGACACATTATAATTGATCCTTCTGCTACTCAACGAGTATACTGGTTGGAAGTAAGTATGTTACATGTTTATTATAACCGGGATGACATGCATGGTGAATGAATGGATGCTCCCCTTGCCCTATGGGTATTAATCAATGACAAGTCCATATATACCTTTTTATGGTAAAACCCTGAATACAGGTTTCTGGACGTTTTGATTGGGCTTCATTGGTGCATAGGAACACGCACCTGCGTACAGTTGAATAATCTTTTATATTTTACCAAAACATTGGGTTATGTTTTTTTTGCATTAAATTTAAAAAAAGTTGTTGTGTTTTTTTTTTTTTTTTTAAACTGCATTTGAAAAACCATTGCGCAAATACCATGTGACATAAAAAAAATTTGCAACAACCACCATTTTATATAATGTTTTGGAGTTCTAAGAAATTTTGTAGCAAAAAATGATTATTGCATATAAACAAAGTGCCAGAAAAGGCCTGGTCTTCAAGTGGGTAATAACAATTTTTGTATTTATATTGATGTGAAAAAACTAAAGTTTCATTGTGTTTTGTGTATCTCTCACCAGGCTCCTCTCTGGACAGAATGACATCCAGCCTGTCTGATTTGAAAGCAAGATTGGACTCCAGGAGGAATGTTTCCCCCAGCGTGTTTGCTGACAACATGAAGCTAAGGGAAGAAACTCATCATTTAGGTATGGGTCTGCCATGTTTTCTAGAAGAGAATATTGTAAGGACAATCTAGTCAAATAATAAAATGCAATTTTAATTGATCCAAGTTTCCTTTGTAAAGTTACCTATGGACATGGTATGACAGCAGCCTCATGTCTGTGGGTTCTCCTGGACATTGGTAGCCATAGGGGGATAAGGGATGAGACTTTTTCTTTTGTGATCACTGATGATCCCTAGTATTGATAAACCTCCTTCTCGATGCTTCCAGCACCTTCCCATTACCTTAAAGGGTTATGCAACGCCCCACAGACAGCTTGGCCTTAGGTCCGTTGGATTGTGCCTTTACAAAGTCTATGGGCAGTGTATAGCAGCAGCCACCAAGTTGTGATTGATGAGGACCTGTCCCTCTTATTTGGATTTCAGGAGCGTTCACAAAAACGTTTATGTAACTGTGCCAACAGTGATTTGTGTGTGCACAAACCTCTACACTTGCCTTGCCACTACTAACCAAGAACCCCCACCAGCTTGGTTTGCAGACTAACCAAAATTGGCTGATTTGCAGTGTTCGGTTGTCCTCAGAAACCCATTGCCTCCCAGTTGATTTTCTAGACCAGTTGTTCCTGTACTACATGGGACCCTATGATACCTGAAAGCAAGGTACATTGCTGAATGCTAATAGATGCCGATTTGCTTTTCAGGGCTAATAAAAGAGACAAGGTGGCTGCTTTTATTTTCTTCTTGGTGGGAAACCTCTTCAAAATTTTAAGCATTCGTCCTATCAGGATGTTAGAAGGAATGTCACTATACTATGCTACAACAAATTATTATTTCAGGTACTTGTATAGCGCTGTCAACTTACGCAGCGCTTTACATATATATTGTACATTCACATCAGCCCCTAACCCTCAAGGGGTGTACAATCTAAGGTCCCTAACTCACATTCATACATACACATACTAGGGCCAATTTAGACATGAGCCAATTCACCTACCAGCATGTCTTTGGAGTGTGGGAGGAAACCCATGCAGGCACAGGGAGAACATGCAAACTCCAGGCAGGTGGTGCCCGTGGCTGGGATTCGAACCAACGACCCTAGTACTGCCAGGCGCAAGTGCTAACCATTTAGCCACCGTGCTGCCCTATAAGCTACAGAATTTCTATACCTAATCTTAATTGGCTGAGTATCACACACATTCCTGCAGACTGAACAAACTTTCCTTTTATTTTATGTTGCAGGTTAATTCCTTCGGTTGCCAGTGCCTTCTAGTGGCCAAAATGCAGTATAGTTTCTCATTGAGGTAGTTAAGACAATTTTGTACTGCATGTTGGCCGCTGGGTAGAGCTGACGATCATAGGAATTAATCTGTTACAGAAAATGTGGGGGAAAATCTGTCCAACGTACACAAATGTGTGTTCACCCAATGAATCAAAGAACATTAATTATACACTTAAATGGTGACTTGTAGGAAAGCATGTGGTGTGTTTTTATTATGTTTGTTTTTTTGTTTTTTTTCTTGAACCGTTGAGAGGTCTTTTTCATGTGGTTCTTTAGCTGATCTAATACAGAATACAGATAAAGGAAAAGAAAATCAAATCCTAGTTGTTTTTAATATTTTATATTTCTGAGACATTTCTGCCCTGTCCTGAACCTGTTGCTATATCTTTTTCCCTTGCAGCAAACTACATACCTCAGGGCTCAGTGGATGACCTTTTTGCTGGTACCTGGTACTTGGTGCGGGTGGATGAGAAGCACAGGAGGTATTATGCACGTACCTCCTCACTGAATGATGGACCCCTGGAGGCAGCACTAGAATCCGTCCATTCAACCAATGCTAGCGAGGTAAGGGATGCTGGTTGTAAATTATATGGTGATGGTGTGGGTGATTGCACTTCAGGGTGCATAAAATATAGCTTTTGCTCTTTGAATTTTGACAGATACCCTTGTTTGTTTTAGGTAGCTGTATATTTCAGAGACGCAGTAGAGCATTTTGCTAGCATGCACGGTTCGTGTAATTTATTTCCTGAGTTTCCCACTTTCCTTTTTGTTTTTTTCTACAATAGCTGAACAGCAGGGAATGATGGGATCATTTAGGCACTGTGTATAGTTTTTATTTAAAACCGGTCTTTACGGGGGAATCTGCACTGAAGGAATAAGGAAACTGTTATTGCTGACAAGTACTTTTGAAAATGCTGGTTGACTGGCTTTCAGACTGAGCCAATACCATCAATGCTTTTATTGTCACCCACCTGGAACAAACAATCATATCAGGACCACTGACTGTGCTTACTACATGCTTGTTCCAGGTCAGTAACTCAACGTAGAGAATAGAGGCAGCCAGGTACCTAGCATTTTCAGGAGGTCCCATGTGTTTTTCAGTCCTTAGCTGTTAATGCCTTTCTGTCACTGTACATTGGACAGATTTATGGAAACACCAGGTAAAATAAAAATTGTTACCTAATATGGTGTTGGGCCGTCTTTGGAATCCAAGACGGCCTGAATTCTCCTGGGAATTGACAAATATAAGTCTTGGATGGTGGATAATGGAGTCTGATACCATTCTTCATGCAAAAATCGAAAACAAGCCTGAACCTTGTTCTCTAAAATTGACCATATTGGCTCTATATTGAAGTTTGTTGACTGTTGCTCCCAGCGAAGGTGCGAGACTTCGTCTGCATGCTTGTCAAACCACGTTTTGACACCAGCTGTGTGAATTGGAGATTTGTCTTGGAAAATGGCGCTGTTTTTGGGAAACAATGTCTGCACCATTTGGGTGCACATGGTCGTCCAAAATTTGTATATAGTCACTGCCAGTGACTCTACCTTTTCAAGGTGATAATGGGGCCTGCAGAATACCAAGATATAGCTGCCCAAACCATGATCGTGTCACGACCATGCTTTACGGTTGGCACAAGGCAGTCCTGGTTGTAAACTCGGGACCGTGTTTGCCACACATGAACACGTTTGATGGTTGGGAACTGTTTGAATTACTATTCATCAGACCATACTACAGTCTTCCATTGATTGATAGTCCACCCTTTCTCATCTTATCAATATCGGTCGCTAGTGGTTTGGCAATTTACCTCGCCCGTGAATGTTTTGCTTATGGAGCTCCTGCTGCACAGTTTTTATGAACACGGGCGTTGGAAGACTGAGATTGAGCTCTGCAGTCACTTTTGCAGTTTGTTTGTTTTTTTTTCTTCTTATTCCGGGTCACAATCCTGCGCAATGTTTTTTTTTTTTTTTTTTTTTTTTTTTTTTTTTTAACTTTAGTCTCTTTCAGTCAGTTGACCATTAGATTTTGGTTCTCGGAAACTATATGCCATCATAACCTTTGATACTGAACCTTGTAACCCTGTAAATAAATTAGCAACTTCAGTCCCTGAGGTACCAGCTAAGTGGGCACCAACAATTTTTTTTTGCCCTCTTTTAAAATCCGTAAGCTCTGACATTACTCCATATTACAAGCAGGGCACAAAGTGAATGATTAAAGTGAAGCTTCCCACCTGTTAGCTAGGTGTCTTATCACACAGCGGAAACAAAAGAATGTTACATCACTTCTGTTTTTAACGCAACACATGTCATCACTTTCACACCTGCAAATCATGTGGTGTTTCCATGTTTTTGTCCAACCCGTATATTTTATGGGATTGTGTTTTTTAATTTTCTTTTTTTACTTTTGTAACAGCACTTCCCGAGTCCTGCTAAGAAAGTACCAAGAATCCCCACTGCATCAGAAGCTGAGGCCATCTCTGTAAGTAACGGAGAGCATTGACCTGAACCGCATCGGATCTACGCGTTTCATCGCTGATAGCCAGCACCTTTTCGAAACAGGGCTACAGCAAATATATCGGTTATAGAGAGGCTATAAATAGCAATTGTAAATACTAAGAGAGCTTAAAGCTCACCTATCTGCAAAAATTTTTATACAATTTAAAGAAGGGGGGCAGAATGGATTAGATGCTTAAAGTGTTTAGTGCACAATGGGGCTTATTTAGTAATACAGTGCGCAAAGCAGAGCCAACCAGATTTCATCTGACCATTATGAAAACCGTGAAGGATAGTTTCTGATTGGTTGACTGATTATTGTGGGTTATTGCATATTGAAGTTTGCCATATTCGTCTTAAACCTTCAGGCTTTCAATAAGGCAAAGTGTTGCTAATCAGATCAGCCAATCAGAAATTCTCTTTCAATGGTCAGATTACACTAAAATGAAGAAACGGAGTGTATTGTTGCTTGTTGCACAGATTTATTCTAGAAGCCCCTAATACTTTTGCTCATCTCAGACAGAGTTAGTAGGTTTTCCACACTGCCTATTTTCTACCTTAGAGGTGGGAGCTTGTATTGCCTCTGTCATGTCATTTTAAAGCACTTTACACATTACAGTCCGCAGTAGATGAACAGCAACCATGTACTGTTTCAGCACACTTTAGCAGGTCACAAACCATGTACCTCGTACAGTATTTATTTTCTCATTACTGGCTTGATGAGTTTTGTATGTACAATTGTGGAACGTCGCCCCAGGAAGAAGCTTTGCTGATCACACTGGTGCTAAACTTTTGGGTTGCAACCCTATTAGTTTGTAAAATGTAGAAAATTTATGTAAATTTACTTCTTATTTTGGCAAATTTTGTTTTGTATGTTTTTGTATAGAAAGGCCAGTAAAACTGGAACACAAGCCGATTTGTATAAATTAAGCCATTATGAAAGAGCAACTGAAAATGGAATGTTTCATATTGGAGGGAATGAGGTGGGGTCTTTATTGCTGGCTGGGACCCCAACATAGATATGAACCCCAGTGGACTGATGTTGACAGACTGCTTGGCTTTTAGCTGAAGCACCAGTATTGCAAGCGAGGGGAAGCCCTCCTCTTACATGGAAACCACTAGAATACCATATTTTTGCTTCCTGTAGGTCCTTTTTTTTTTTTTTTTCAATAGGAGTAGATTTGGAGCTCTGGCTGATGACTGAATTATTTTGGCTAAAAAGCCTAGATTGGTCTGTTGTTCATAACATGGTTTGGAGAAGATCTTCATTGGGTTCCAAGCTTTTGGTAAAGACTTGGCAGTAACTTACCCTCTCTACACTAACCAAGAAATAGTGTTTTTTTTAATTGATAATCCGTCAACAGATATAAAATAAATATATATATGTGTGTGTGCAAATGTCCCTTTTACTTTGACAGAAGTTCACATTTTTGTACAATGTGTACAGCTGATTGTGGACTAGTTTAATAGAATTGGCCATTAAGTACTGAGCAGAAGCTGAATGGATTTAATGGACAGGACGTCAATTGTGTGTCATGCACAAACCGTTTGACATGCACATGTGGTTTCAGTAGCTCTTTTTATATAAGGCAACACGTGTTTACTGGTCCTTTACCTGTACCTATTACCTGAGCTTGGTCATGGCAGCCGTTTTTGTTGGCTGAAGCTATAGTTCTAAGAATGCAGCTTGCTAGTCAATAGGAATCGATGTCATCTTTGGGGCATTGTTCAGTGACTTTGCTTGCATTCTCAAAACTGATGCTTAGTGCACAATAGGGTTGCCTGCAGTTTGCTAAGGTAAATGGTATGTTTCAAAAGAAAATATCACCTAGAGAAGCACATAGACTAATCTTCTAAGTAACAATATCATAATGGTATGTATGGATGCATTCAGAAGGCAGTTACAAGCACTGGATTGAAAATTGAGGCAGTTACAAGCACTGGATGGAAGATTGAACTCATGGAAGAGAATCTGCCACTCGACTGAAGTTTATATCTTTTGATTTTATTAGTGTTCATGGCACTCGCACTCTTTTCCCTTTTTATCAAAGAGCATCCATGTTCGTTCCTGGCGCAAATAACGCACAATACTTGTACCCCTACCATGCTCAGACATAGTTTGGCCAGTTTAGGAGGACACATATAACCTAAAAGTCTTTGTAATGTGGAAGGAAACCAAATCCCGTGAGGGAAACTCGTCTAATGGGAGTAGTGTTCTTTTTGAGAGTTGACCTGGTGGTCCCAGTTCTATATGGCAAGAATGCTAACCATATTTTTTTTTTAAAAACTGCCAAAGAAAAGGATATATATATAAATATATCTATGAGGATGCTAGGATATGCGTTGGACCTTCTTTACTAGCCTCCATTCCATACTCCTACCTTTCTAAATGTCCTGCACCAAAGCAAACTTCTGGCTAGCTGCTCGTGTATGCTATACTGGGGTTTTGTAAAGAATTTTCTGAAACACGGGCCATCTGATGGAGGGCTTCAAGAGTACGAGAGCAAGTGCTTGGCATAAGATATTTAGATTACTGGGAATAAAGGCATGGATGTTGGTTAGATTTATACTTTGATCCCCCATTTGCCCATTCAGAGGGCCTTTGCACCCTGATGTGGAAAGTAATCTCTCTGCATGTAATACACCCAATGTCCCCAGTCCCTATAAAAATGCCTATGTTAGGAGCTGCCTTCTGAAACAGTCTGTAACCTCCTAAAGCAGTCTTTTGACTCTGCTTCTTTCTCAAACACCATTGTGATATTATCATTGCAAAATGTAATTTGTACTTTTCTTTGTGTAATTTTCTTCTGACTTGTATTATACTTTCTGTGTATGCTGCTGTTTTTGTACAGTTAAATTTTTTGCAAGATTCCCTAAACAAATGTACAGTACACAAATGTAAGAATAGTGCTGATATGTGTGATAATTGTTTGAAAACCTATAGAAAATGGTCCTAATGTAACTCCTTCCAATGTGGAGGAAGTAAAAAGAAACTGCTAATTATGTAAAAACTTTAAACAATAAAGTTTTCACAATATTTTATAAGATGGAGGTCTTGGGGGTTTTTTTTTGTCTACTTTATAGAATAAAATTGTGATATTAGACCCAGAACACTAAATGCTGTTGGGGTGTCATGGAGGTTTGTCAAGGTCATGCGACAAGTATGTTAAAAAAGCCAAGAATAAAATGTGGCATCATATTGGTATCATGTGCTTGCAGTGATTTTGGTGTGCTTTATAATTAAAGGTGTTTTATGAAAGAGTTTGGTTTCTATTTCTCCATATTTCTTTCATATGCACAGTGAATACACTTCCAAATGGAGTTCAGTGAAGGATACTGTTAATACTACAGAATGCAAAGACATATTGCAACAGTTTGCAGAAGGCCCTTTTCCCAAATTATCCTTTAATATGTTTGACTAGCACAGCCTTTCTAAACCTTTTAAGGTGGAGGAACCCTTGAAATAACTCTCTGGTCTCAAGGAGGCTCTGCTAATAATTACTATATCTACTGTATGCATACCGTACATTAGTGTGATAGTCACTGGGGGAATGCTTCTTACATTTGTGGCCAATGGGAACATTTTCCCCTCACAGATAGCTAAAAAGATCATTGGTGTCAGTGGCTAATTACATTGTTCAACAGGTAAAAAGTTTTGGGCATAAAATTAGCTAATCTTACATAATTTTGGGGTGCTGAAAACGAAAATGACCCTAAAAAATGTTGATTGGCTCTAGTTTCCATGATATATTCACCCATTTAATGAAGTAAGCCATTCAAAATTATGATGCAACTTCAGCTGCATATTGCGCAATCGATACCGGTGAACAATAGAAAATTGCATGTATACTGAGATGATGCAATATTAGCCTTTAATTGCATCACTTCACTGCATAAAAGCTGCAGTATCTGTAGCTGATTGTAGTTCGACAGCGTCTTTACATTTCGTTTTATGCTTATATAGGCTACTCAGTAATGCCTCGAACTTGTGTGAATAAAGCAGATAATTTCTGCTATATCTGCGGTGAAATAACTTTTATCTCACAAAAAAGGAGGATAACAGGAATGATTAAGAAAGCCTACAACTTGTATTTTGGCTGCAAGATAGGAGACCAGGACAAGAGCTGGGCACCACATATATGCTGCAATTCTTGTGGGACGGCACTGGAGCAATGGTTGAATGGAAAAAAGGCATCTATGCCTTTCGCTGTGCCAATGATTTGGAGAGAGCCAACAGATCATGTTAGTAATTGTTACTTTTGTATGGTGCCTCCAATTGTAAAAGGGCTAAATAAGAAGAAAAAGTTGTCTGTGCACTATCCAAATATCCCATCGGCAATACGTCCAGTTCCTCATGGAGAGGGGCTACCAATTCCTAAAGCACCAGAATCCTTCGTGGTTGAGTCAAGTGAGGAAGAACCTGAAGCGTGTAGTCACGTGCAGTTGTAAGAGATAGCCCTTTCCTCGAATACAAGAGAAAAGCCAAGAGAAGCAAAACCGACACAAACTGAAGACAAAACTAGTGAGAATCCTAAGAATTAAAATGATTCAACTTAGCTTATGGCTATAATTTTTCTTGGTAATCCTATGCAATATATTATGCCATTTAGGCTTTGTTATGTAGTCAATATCACTTGCTTTATATTTGTGGAAAGACATCTATCTATATAATTATTGTGCATTATGTAGTCATTACGCCTATAGTAGAAAACTTTCCGTTTACAGAAAAACTAGAGCCAATTGACACATTTCATTGTTATATTTGAACTCAGAATGTGAAATTCATTAAGAAATGGATCCTTTTGTTTCCAAAAACTGGCAAAAAATAAAAATTTGTTGAACAGTGTTATCAGAGGCGTAGACATTGCTCAAGGAATCTCTGGAAGAGCTTTAGAGATTCATGGAACTCTGGTTAAGAACAGATGAACTAGAGAGATGACTTCACCCACTTGCAAGAAACACAAGACCTGGAAGTTTACTCTCTTCTCGCCGGACGTACGCATATAT